ATGGTACTTGATGGCAAAAAAGCACACAAACAAACCGCACAAGGCGGGAGGGTGTGTGGTAAAGAAAACAGGCCGAATAACGTCACCGTATACATTACATTATATCCGTGGTTTTACTTGCTATATTGTATTTACTTAGGCAAGAACTCCATTATAAGATGTATCAAAAAATAATAAAAATAAAAATGAACTATGTTGAAAATACTGAATTATTAACTAATAAAGGCTAGAGGGATAGCGTTTCATTGGCCTACAGCAGCACAGCCGTCGCCAGCATTGATATGATACCCATAAACATCGGACCGGGGACCCTAAAAGCTTCATGGGTCTTTATGCAAGCCCTTTTTTTGTTGCTCAGCATAAAACCATCACTACACAATGCGCACCTTTCAGAATCGGCGCATTTTGTGCAATGTTCGACGGTACAAATGCTTACGCAAGCTTCTTCTTCGTTACTCACCTCAAACCCATCATTGCAAGTTACACACCTAGAAGTATCCCCGTCGCATTCGGCACAATTTTCTGGGCAAGCTTCACATTTACCATAAGTCGTCATTCCACACTCCTGATCACATTTTGCACACCTAGAAGTATCCCCGTCGCATTTGGCGCAATTTTCTGGGCAAGCTTCACATTTACCATCAGTCGTCATTCCATTCCCCTGATAGCATTTTGTGCACCTAGAAGTATCCCCGTTGCATTCGGCACAATTTTGGGGGCAAGCTTCACATTTACCATCAGTCGTCATTCCATTCCCCTGATAGCATTTTGTGCACCTAATGCTATCGTCGTCGCATTCGGCGCAATTTTGTGGGCAAGCTTCACATTTACCCCCACTCACTATTCCATACCCCTGATTGCATTTAAAACATTTGGTAGCATCATCGCATTCGGCGCAATTCGGAATCGTGCATGGAAAACATTCTCTATCGAGACTTATGTGATACCCGGGTTTACATTCATAGCATATTCGATTGCGATCACATCTAAGACATCTGTCGTCGTAGCAATCCCTTTCGCAACCATCACCTTGGCTGTTTAACCTATACCTGTCATTGCATTCTTCGCACTTAGTAATATCGACGTCGCATCTTGAGCAATTATCAGACTCACATGGATCACATTTTCCTTGTTCATTCAATCTGTACCCAGATTTGCATTTCTCACATTCTCTAGCGTCCTTGCATTTAAAACATTTGTCGTCGTTGCAATTAATTTCGCAACCATCTCCTTTGCTATTCAACCTATGCTCAGCATCGCACTTTATACATCTTTTGGTTTCATCATTTTGAATTTCGCATTCTCCACAACCTGGGGGGCAAGCTTCACATTTAAAATCATCGGTTCTTTTGTATCCAATACTGCATTTTTTACAGACATTGGAATTGTCGTCGCATTCGTCGCAATTCGCAAGCTCGCATGGAACACACATTTTATCGCGATTCAGTATATACCGAGATTTGCATTTTCTACATACACCAAATTTACCTTTGCAGTGTGCGCAATTTTCGGGGCAAACATGGCATCTACCATCATTCATTATCCCATAACCCTCATAACATTCATCACACTTAGTGACATCTGAATCGCATCTCATGCAATTCTCAACCATGCATGCAACGCATCTCCCTTCGTAACTAAGTTGACTCCCTGGTTTGCATTGAATACATCTGCCAGTATCATAACATGTAAAACATTTGTCGTCCTTGCAGTCCATTTCGCAACCATCGCCTTGACTGTTAAACTTAGATCCCTTCTCGCATTTTTCACATCTGGTAGCATCATTGTGGCATTCTGAGCAATATGGGGGGCACATTTGACATTCATTATTGATTCCTCTCCCGTACCCCTCATCGCATAGTTCACACTTAGTAGTATCGCCGTCGCATTTTTTGCAATTTGGGGGGCAATTTACACACATACGGTCATCTGTTCTCCCATACCTTTCTTTACATACATCACACTTAGTGGTACCTTTGTAACATTCTTTGCAATTTTGGGGGCAACGTTCACATGTACCATGCTCCGTCAACTCGTAACGATCGTCACATCTTGCGCACTTGTTGGCATCGAGGTAACATTTCATGCAATTACTAACCACACATTTAGCACATTTACCATAATGATTCAATCCATAGCCAAATTTGCATTTGTAACAACTTTTAGTGTCCCTGCATACAAGACATTCGTGGTCGTTGCAATCAGGTTCGCAATCATCTCCTGGGACGCTAACCCTGTATCCGTGATTACATTCGATACACGAAAGAAAATCGAATCTTAAAACACATAGATCGCAATTTGGGCCGCATTTTATACATTGTCCATCCTCTGTTTTACCATACCCATGAATGCATTCTTCACACTTAGTAGGATCGTAGGGGCATAGGACACAATATGGAGGGCATTCCGTTCTCTTATTTCGAGCCATGTACTGCAG